GAAATCGAGGCTCACTATCTTGAACTCTTTCCGGCATCAAGTAAAAGCAAGAAGAAAAAAGGTCACCAAACAAAGAGGACATCCGATGAAGCAGCAAGATACGCAGCAGAAGTGCAAAAAGACTTTTACAAAGCGGTAAATGATTAGAAAAAAAAACATGACATGCAAATTACATAGACATTCATCCAATATTGCGAATGACACTGTTGAAGCACCTGAATGAATGTAGTATAACACAAATGAATTTATATGCTATGAAGTACAGCTCGTGTTCAATGACACGGTATAGTATATATGAAGTATATGGACATTGTACATRCATGTAGCTCTCAGTACCTCGCTCATTGTGCCTTTTTGATTCCAGGTATTCATTAAATGGAGGGAAATAGCATTGGTAATGAGAGAAGAAACATTTGAGGACGATGCAGATGAGGATATAGACATATATGATGTCAAGGTAATAAATCTGATCCTAAAAGCTGCACAGCGCAATAAATGTACCCTTATTTAACGGCAAAAAGTGGAATCCCAAATTAATGTCTGGAATGAATGATAATAATATAGTGAATGCTTCTACTAAACATATGCTAATTTACGTTTGCATCTCAGGCAAAAGAATGGGGTTTTCTTTTGAGGGAAGTGTTTGGTGACAGACTAGGAACTGGCGACTATGGACATCTTACCGTAGAACACACGGCCWTGCTATTCCGTAGATTCCGTTCRTTCAAAAGAWACTCAAACCAAGGATTTGAAGCCCTTCATCGTATGCAGCGGCAGCTGTATACACGTGCAACTAATCATGATGGGAAAGCATTTGGACAGTCAAGTATGCTATTAATTACAACTTTCAGGGGGATTTAAACTTGACGTAAAGCTGATAATTTTTCATAAAATTGTTATCTGAAATCAATATATACTATACTATGTAATTTACGTGCTTAAATAYCCAATGCCAAAATGTGTGTCGTATTTTCCAAAGGCAAAAAATTCTCATGTTCCACACATTGATTCTTAAGTTATAAGTWAAGTTGAAAAACTCTTCTTCATTAAATTGTTGATAGTGTTATTCGTCATTTTGTTTAGTCRAGGACATGCTTGTTCATCACTACTCTGAGAAACTTCTGTTCTTCAGGCTTTGTGTTCACAATGCCATTGACTGTTATGAAAATGGTAAGTTTTAGAACATTACCTAGCTGCGTAAAGTTAACTGAAGTATCAAAGAAATGTCGTAGAGCTTCATATTTTCTTAACACTGTTGCATAATTACACTTTTTTCGTCATAAAGTTTGTTCTTGTTGCTTTTAGGTAAACCATTCTTCTTTCGTGGGTGTGGTTGGAAACGTTCGAATGCACCGCATCATACGGATGAGGATGTAAAGTGGTTAGAAGTAGTTCGCCAGTTATTAAATGCTGTTTTTGGTAGGGACTACCTTGATTATTATTTTGGTAATACGGATTGAAAGTAAAGGAATCTAGTATTCCTACATACGTTTACGACCACGATTCCTGGGAAAATGAGTACGACGAAAAATATAGAAAACAAAGTGTAGAGTCATCACAGACCACAAAACCTAAAAAGAAAGCACGGAAGCTTTTTTCCGAAAGTCAAACGATGTCATCCAATAACCTGGATGAAGCAGATCCCTCYTCATCCATATCAAGCTTAGAAAGCGATAGTATGGCTCTTCCATGTCATACAAGCACTCCTTTGAAATCCAACACCTCAATYAGCCCAAYAACTAGCACACATGGACAAGGCCATGTAAAGCCATCGTCGCCACCTCCTACTACCTACAATTCTGAGAAGAGGTTTATTGATTGTCCTGTGAGTGCTGCTTTCTCCTCTAACGACTTTGGTCTTTGTCATGCAAGTTCGAGAGCAAGTAGAAAGCAACTCGCTAATCTCGTCCTTCCGAAGGTCCAACAAGWTTGTAGCASTAACATAATTGTGTCTTCGCAGTCTCTGCCCACATTARACCCATTTTWTATTAAAACAAGACCATCACGGAGTGCTCTAGCTCATTGTGATAGCCTATTATCAAAATMCCRCAGAAATGGGASTACTGCCAATGTAGTACAATTTGGCTCTGTAGGAACCTTTAACGTTGACGATCTTTGGTTGCTACGCAAGTTTTGTGACATTGATGACACTAGAAGACATGTCATCGGTGAAACCAACTGGTTRAATCAGGAAGATGGATTTGACATGAAAGAGATGGAAGCCTTGAGTTCTGCGCTGTGGGACAATGACCCATTTAAAGTAATTTTAAAAATAGCCGATGGTAGAAATACGAAATCAATTGATGTCACATCTTTGACGTATTTGTGCGAAGAACGATATATTGATAACATGGTTATAGATGTTAGTCTCTTGAAGTATATGATCGAACTAAATACTTCTGAAAGTGTGAAGTCCCTTGTACTACCTTCAGGAATTTGGAGTTGGAAAGAATGTGCTAAAGGATACCTCAAAGAGAAAATATCAACTTCATTACAAAATTCCCAATCTCGAGTACAAGATCTGCAACAAATAATCATTCCTGTGTACATGCCTTCCCATTGGGCTATTGTGTATGTAGAYTTAACAGAGACAAAAGTCTACTTTGACGATGGTATGAAATTCAGCCCCCCAAATGGCACACTGGAGTCTGTTAAAGAATTTTTAGATGTGCTACACAGGTTGCATCCAGAATGTTCTGCATTTTTGAGCGAAAGATGGAAGAGTGTCGTGTCTCTTGAGCGTTTAGGAATGCCTAGCCAAGTGGCAAGAGATGCAAAGATGAGTGGGCAGGGAAGTGGCAGTTGTGGTATTGGTGTACTCATGGCTGCGAAATATTTAATGAGCAAGGGAAATAATGTAATAGGGGCATTCCCATGGACCTTTGCGCATAGCAGAAAGTACAGAAAAGAACTAATGCTGCAGATTTTAAAAYGGGCATCATAATATATTAACTTTAATATTTGCATATATATTATTCTTTTTTTTGTCACATTATATGCTAGTTATTAATTCAAGTCGTCCCGTTGCAGAAATACCAGTCATAGAAATACTAAGAGTTATGCCATATTTAATCAGGTACATCAAACAATCATGTTTAATTTGATTCAAATGTGGTTTTGCCTTATTTCAATTCTGATTAATAACGCACATTTCAAAATGATATATAATTTCTATTGATATTAGGCTGTATTTGAGTCGGATGCAATTTCAACTTTTCTCATGAAGTTTTTATACTATATATACTATATATTGACTGGCATGCTAAGTACTCATGGATCAAATTTCGTGTGTGGTATTTGTATTTGGTATTTGTTTACCAAAATGGCGTGGTCCAGTCTGTAGCTCTAAAACGACTAAGTATTAAAGAATATGTATGCAAATATAATCGTATGAGGAAGTAGCTGATCCCATTATTGAGTGCTCAATACACATATAGTGTAGAGCTAGTTATATATGTGATATCAAAGAGGAAAGATTTTAGTACTGTAACTCCGAGTTACAGCAAAATCTTGCCTCTTTGATATCACATGTATGCAAATATAAAAATGTTATCACATATTCCTCTTAAACGCCAATTTCGGCTCATTAACGATTCCATTCGGCTTACCTGGTAAATTTGGATGAAATGATGCGTTTATTTGTTCTGCAACACCAACAATCCATAGAGTGTAACCACTGTATTCTACTGAATTGACGGTCAACGTTGTTTTGGGT